TACTAAAAGTCGATAAATCTCGTGTATAACGCAAATTTGTGAGGTTACGGTATCTCTATGGCAAGGACTCAAAACTCAAAGACTGCTAAAACTCTATATAGCCGGCCCAAATATACATGAAATATGAAAAACTATCACTATACGTTTTGTATTTTGCTGTTATTGTGGGATTACGGAGTTCTACAGTATGGGCTCTTTGTAAAAAATAGTCACTTCAAATAGGTATCTTACTGAACATGACGATTACTAATATCATTAGCTTCCCTTAGCGACTACGGCAACCACTATGATGTTACGCAAATGCACAGTGCGTGGTCTTACCGTAACCAATCAAAAATGGTGCCATCATAACGAATGGATACGGTATACGTAAATGGCAATTCAGGTAACTCCCTAGTAAAAATGCAGCAAATTTGTCCCCTTACCGTATACCTACCGTAACTAGTGCTCCCATTATTTGTTTGTAACTTTTCATTCATTTGTAATCAGGAAGATTACTAGTTTTTTTCTAGAAAACTTCAGCGAGGTAAAACTGAGAACGATTGACGCGCAATGTGCATATACTGTGCAACTGCACATTTTAGCTTACGATTTCGGCAGTTTCACAATTTTTGTCTTCAAAATGTAAAAATATGAAAATCACTTCAGAAACAAACCTGTGATTTCTCTATAGTGACATTTCCTCGATCGCACATTGGCGACACTTCGATACCCAACTCTTTCTCCCGATCTCCTTGCCTCCAATATTCTTCTAAAATCCGTGAGTTCCATTGCCGATACAGTTCGATGGGTTTCGTTGGATTTGATAAATCAGCCAGGTGAATCATGGATTGTAAAACCTAGATGAGCTTATTGAGCTGATGATATTGCAGTGGTTGGGACTAGTGTACCTGTATCTTATCGTTGTATTTATCTAAGACGATTACGTTGTTTCCAGCAACTTTTTTCGCTTCAACCATAGTTTTCAGATCGGCCAAAAGGGACATATGCTTGGACATATCTGTAGCTAGCACCTGAAGAAAAAATTTTGAAAAACTGGTGAGCCCCATGAAAGATTTCAAAATGTTGACGCAATGTAAAAATACCGAGTCTCTTTGGCCTAAAATGGACGAGGAAGGT